TGTACAAATAGGAACAATCAAGTCTATATTTATACACAGGGAAGGGATAGTGAAGGTGGAGAAAATTATTATTAGAGGAAAGGGGAGAAGGAAAAGCCTTCATTAAGTCCCTTTGGACTCAATGTTTTCAATTTATGTATCCAAAAGGACTCTCTTTGCCTCAAAAAATTATCGTAGTCGCCTCTCCTTGTAGTTTTTTTCACCAGTTCTAAACCACAAAAACATAGACCTTTTGAAATCCCCTTCATGATATTCCCTGAAATGTCTAAAAATTGGATTGTCTACTGGATTTTTTTGGAGACCTAATGTAATCATGAATACGTTTTTTGAACAGGCGAAACATCTTCCCAACATATTTGAAATTACATTGGCAGGTGAGCAAATATACTAAACCTGTCATGTTGCATTTGAATCGACCAGGGATCCAGCTTGTATCACTAGAATATAAAGTGCAACATAGTGTAATAAATTTACACTTTACCATCAATTTGTGAATGCAACCTTGAAACATGAAATGAAAATTTTAATTGTTAACTTTATTATACTATGTTGCACTTTATGTTTATATTCTAGTGATACAAGGTGGATCACTGGTCGATTTGTATTTTGAAATAGATTTGTATGGTTACTGAGTTGGGAGGTAACCTAAGGAAAGCAAGTATCCAAAAAAGCAAATTTTATATTGATATTTTCCACGGGTGAGTAGGTGGAAGCTATATGTTGCATTTGAAGAAAGATGTTATTTTGAACTCCCTTTTTCCTTCACTATCCTTCACTTTTTTTGAATCTCTCTTAATGGATTTGCATACAACACACCTCCCAGATCCAAAAGTACCAGTTACATGGTTGCAAAGCCACATTGTGGGGGGTGGCTGTCTCTGTTGTAAATGGCTTGGGGCCAGAAGATCTTGCAGGTTTTTTCCCCTGCATGCTGTGATGGTTACATTAGGGGCAAGTACCTCTTTCAAATGTTCATCACTGGTGAGTAGTGGCCAGAAACGCTGAAGTGATTCTTTTGACACTCCCGTAGCCTGCATCATAAGTAGCTATAAGTCTAATAATCCTATTGGCGTCCTTAGATGCCACATTGGGGGCAGTCTCATTTATCAGTGCACTACGGTCAGACTCCAAGGACCAAAACTCAAAAAGATAATTTTTGTACACTTAGCATGGGATCTCTGGACTTTGTATTGCAAGCAGGATAACCACTTACTGATCTCAGGATTGAATAATGGTACTATGAGTCTACATAGTTAGACAGCCAGACAAGAACAACCTTGTGCAGCAAGCAACAGCAAGACTGTAGCAGAACCCCTTTGGCTGTTCCATTTATTTCCTTTTATTGTTGTCTCTTTAGAGTTTTCCCTGTGCCTGGATTATACAGAATTACATATGTAACGGCACCCTCAGCATAAAAGGGGTTAAACCGCCGTTTAGTAGATCTTCCCTTCCAGAGACACAGGCACAGCTACTGCAGAACACCAATCCGCCGAACAGGAAACCATATGAATGCCGTAAACAGCCGAATAGGAAAAACCATAAGAATAGGTTTACACTCCTAGCAGTCGAACTGGAACAGCATACAATACATCCCCCCAAGAACGAGACAAAGCTCGGTGTTGAGGGTCAAGCAGTGAACAGACAGAGCTGTGGGTTTATTGTGCTTATGTACACATTCTTACACATTAGTACCACTCACAGGGTTTTGGAACACAACCAATAAACACATACAATACACTCAGACACTCCCACACAAAATCCTCCCCTCTGCCTGTGATTCAATTACCTTACACAATGGGTAATGTAGTTATAACAAGCAGAGAAATACAATTTTTCCACATTATTCATAACTTGAAAAGTATGCATCACATTCACATAAATTCTTACATTTTCAGAATCAGCATACTCCAAGTACAAACATACGTCAAAATCATACAAATTGGTCCAGTGGTTCAAAAGATAGATCATAGTCCTTTGTGACCAAAGGAAGCATGGCTTTTCTGTCCAAAACCAGTTCCACAGAGTCTTCTATCCTGGAGATAATTGGGAAGTAATCCAATTATCTCCAAGTAAAGAGGCAAAACTCCATTAAACACATGGCAGCAAAAGACAATAAAACACATAAAAACATATAACTGTGCAGCCATTGCACAAAACAGGTACATTCATATCCCCAGATAGCTCAGATCTGAGCGCACATTATTAGTGAATGGCGCTCAGATAACATACATACAGTTCAATTGCCATGGAGCCAAAGTCTTTCCCATAGTCTTTCATTATACGAATGGGCTCCATGGCATAGCTATCTGGGGTATCACCGCTCAAACAGGGCAAGCACCAAATGACCCGGCTTTCATGTATTTGCAGGGGAAAATCAAGCCTTTTAACATGGGGCCATAATCTAAAGGCAGCAGGCGGGCAACCAGGCTTCTCCAATGCAATGTGGCGAGATTGGTCTCGTCACAATATACAACTATATGTGACCATACTTTGTTCGGTAGAAGGATATACCAGCTTGCATGTGAACGACTATATTCACCATACGAACAAAGTACCGAACAACCAGACCACCCTGGTGGGAAGAATGGATGCAATTTACCCCTCTGATTGCTTGTTACATTCCCTTGAATTCACTAACACTCTGCTATATTCCATCAGCCGAACACGTGGCGGTGGCCATCTTAAACCCTCGAACAGCGGTGTTTGGTCGTCGAGTGTCTGGAACTCAAAACGGACACTCGACTAACCGAACACCGCTAATACCTCCAGGGCTTCAGAAAGTACCCATGGAAATGCACGAACGGCCCGTCGTTCGGTAGGATGAATCCCACGAACTAGAGAATTCATCCGGTTACCAACTTCACTATGGATGGTATAGCCTTTTGGGACTTTTGAGGCACGAACTGAGACCGACCGCAGGGCCAGATCTCATGGAACTATTTTCGGCTACTTTACCCATGCGGTCGGTCAAATCTTTACCTTCCCATAACTCGCGAACCCCTGGTCTGATCTGGGTGATTTTTGGATATGTTCCTCACCCAGATCCGGGCTACCAGGGGTACCATATTTAAAGGTGTATCTCACATATTTGGGGTACATCTAAGAAGTGGGGAAAAGTATGTAATGTATAATTGTATTAACTGTTAATCTAAGGGGAGGAGATGTGTGGGAGGTAACGTCTATGGGATTGGTTACTGTACTAATTGTGGTGAATCCCTTGCATGGGAGAATCTCATAAAAGCAGGAATGTTGCCATTAAAGCTCAGTTCTACTCCTGATACTGTGTGTCGTCCAGTGATTGGGAAGGGTGATGGGATACTCGTGGATTTTATTGCTGATTGTGCTGGATACTCTTTTGGATTTATTACTTGTTCCTGCATTCTTTTAATATATCAGTGGAGTTAAGCTGTGGGAAATCATCTCTCCGCTACAAAGACCAATACCTTGTGGTCCTTTGTTCACTTATCTATATAGATATGACCATAATGACATCAGAGTATAACCCTAGTCATATATATATATAACCCTAGACCCTAGTCTGGAATCCACATTGCAGACTTCTCAGACAAAGAAAGCCTTGTGACTTATTGATACCATCTGTTACTTATGTCAATACAGACATCCATACATAATCGATAGAAACATAACATATGCAATATTCTACACGCACCCTGGCCACCCTGCATTCTGCGAACCAGTCAGGGTGGCTTTTGATGATGGAGCATGGTGCTGGAGTTACAATGGAACCCTCTGTAGGCAGGAACAGTTCAGGGAAGTGCTCATGGATGATGTTATATAGGGAAGAAGTGTCTCTTCTGCCCTATATAATAGCTGGTCTCCTAGTCCTTTACAATAAGTTGTACTGTGCTCCTAAAGTTGTTCATTTCTGTACCAGCATTGTCGACTAATAGTTTTTGACCCCTTTGATTGATAAATCATTTATAAACCTGTGACTCCTGACTATTCTTTCACTTGATCCCTATCTGTACTTTGATATCTGTGTCTTGTCCCAGCTTCCTGCTGCATTTTAGAGTTTCTTCTTCTAAACCTTACAGATGGAAGAAAGATTTCTCCCAACTATTGCTATCTGTCCAAATCCATTTCTGCTATAAAGCTGAGCAAATAATGCACCAGTTGTATGAACTATAGATGGGTCCTGTAGTCTCATTGTATTGGTGGTCATAACATTGCTGTTATCTGTGCGGTGCCTATAGTATATGATACTTGGGACAACATTTTCTTTTGACACGATCAATAATAAAAAAAAAAAAATTCCCCCTGTGTCTCTCCACCCCTTGCCTTTTGTGTGTCTTTCCTGATCCCCTTAACCTCTTGTGTCTCCATGTAACCTTCACTTTCTAGTGTGTCTCTCCTTGTGTGTACCGTGTTAGCTCAGTTACCCTCTCACATGATTCTCTTTATCCCCGCATCCTATTTTGTGTATCTTCTTACCTCCTCACCTCCTGTTATGTTTGTTATTTACCCCTTAAGTCTCTGTGTCTCTGTTTTCAATCTCAGCCTCCTGAGTGCCTGGTCCTAACTCCCACCCACTTTTGTGTCTTTATTAATTTCTACCTTTTGTGTCTTACTTCCCCCTCCTTATTATATTATCCCAGATTGCAGCATAGCTGAGAAGGGCAATGTCAGAGAATTTTCTGCCAGTTCATTATGGTGCCATGTGACTAAAGAATGGACCGAATATGATATTAACTCAAAAAAAAAAAAAAAATCCCCCTCCCTCACTCTTTGCTCAGAGCCTGGGTCAATTCTAACAGACCAAGCCTAGGATCATGAAATTCCTGTGCTGCTGAAGCTTAATGGCCACAACACAAACAGTGACAGTGAGGGAAGGTCTAGCTGTATGCACCCCTTACAATTTATTACATGTGGTGGTCTGCAACTGCACCATGCATGTATGTTACATTCAGAGACAACATCTTTATCCCTTAACAAATATTCTTATATCAGTTTTCAATTTTTGTATACACACTGACAATAGATGTGTATTAAACTTTATTTCCAATATTGACATGGTTCATTGTTTACCATATGTTATACACATTACAATAGCTTAAAATTAAAATTAAATTTATACAGATTCAACAGCGGATAATACATATGCAATGAGTGGACCTCTCCTCTTGTATTGTGCTGGGTTATTAGATGGGAATTTTTTTGATGGACTCAGATGGTCATCACATTGTCTCCTCATGGCTTACAGTCCTCAACGATATAAGATGTCCTTCTCACACACAAATGGGCAATGATTGGAACACAGTGCATCATTCCACAGACCATTTTGTCTAAAAGTAGCACAACTCTCAACTTCACCTGTCTTCTGGTCCCTCCCATTATCAGGTTGTCCTGGAACCCAGTAGCTACAACATAGAATGTATAAAGTTACCAAACGAAATTGGAATATGTTAATACATGTGTTAGCAAAATTGATTTAGACAACATTTTATTGCCAACTAATATGAAATAAAAAATCCTTTTTATATACTGTGAAAATGAGTATAACCCCCTCTCCCGTATTCTATAGCAATGATGACACAGAGAAAGCATCCTCTAGCATTCTATAAAATTGAGAAACCCCATCATAAACAAATAACTATTTATTAAGTCCACCTCCCTCCAATATTCTCTAACAGTGATAAATGCCAACATCCTCAAATAGTGAGAAAAAAACCTGTCTAATATGTCTTTGTCTCCTTTGTCATATTAACCTCTCAAATAATGAAACTTGTGTAGTAAAAAATGTCAAATTTCAAGTACATTTTCAGTGATGTCTTATTGTTCAGCAAAAAACAGCCGGTATGATACAAATGAGTAGAGTGGGTAAAGTGGGTAAACTGTGAGCAAAAACAAAAGTAAAATTTCAAGCAATATTCAAGGAGCTTGTCGTTTGATGTAAATTGTGAGTAATTTACTGAAAGTATTCAATACAATATGTAAATCACAACAGAGTGTGTGAAAAAAGCCTCATTCAATTCAAAAAGTGAGCAAATCAGAAATTGCAATCTGTTTACCATAGGATATAAATAGGGCTGTCTTATTGGTAAAGGGACACTCTGAACCCCTACAGCATGGCTGTGCTCGCATTAGGATTTCCCCGTAGGAAAGCATTATTCAATGGGGATTCCGGTGATGCTGGAAGACCTCATGCATAGCGTGAGGACATCGAGTGTTGTTTAGGCAACCAAAGGTTGTCTTCGAGCCCCAAAGTCCCAAACGTAGACAGCCACTAGAGGAGGAGTTAACCCTAGCAGGTAATTATTGAAGTTTCTAAAGTGGTTTGGGTGCCTACAGTGTAGCTTTAATTCTGACTGCAATGATATTTCTCATATTTTAATAAAGCCAAATTAAATATAGTCAGGCAAAGCAATCCTGCAACAATCGAATGGAAGCATTTGGTGTCCGAAGTAAAATGATTACTTTCACATCCAAATCCTACACAAAGTATAGGAATTGGATTATTCTCAAAGCACCAGTTTTGAACTGAATAAAGACCAAATGCACATTTTTTCAAATTGTCATTCATTTGCTTTTATGAAAGCGAACAATAATTTTAAGTACTATTTGCTCACTGGAAGTGCTTGCTATAAAGTGGATGTTTTATGACCCTTTGGTATGGGGCTGTGATAGATAACTCTGTCCCGGGATTGTAATTACTTTTTTTTATTCTCTTATGTGTTCGGGACATTGCAGTTTATTTCATTCTATTATTTAGTTTACCTACCAAACAAACTCCTCTGATGAATAGACCACCCGTATGTGGAGTGTGCCACTCAGTGACCCCTGTCACCTCATTGACACTCCTAAACCTTATTATTGCTATTTTTATTGTATTATTTTGTTTATTTATTTAGTTTATTTTATTTGTTGAGTTTTTATTTTAATTTCTTCTTGCCACTACAAAGCTCGCCCTTAGAACAGAAGGGACCGTGGTACTGGAAATGCTGAATTTTAACTTCTATCTTGTGAGTGCAAGCTAAAATAAACCCTTTCTTATTGATTATACTGGTGCACTATGTTTGCATTTCTCCCTCTTGATCTTTTAATAAAGGTTGAAAAAGAAGAAAACTGAGCTCCTCCAAATTCTACCGATTCTTATATACCTACAACTTACTTCTATCTTGTAAATGCAATTTGCCGCATGCTCATTTTCTGGTGCTTCAATATACCACACCATTGCTGGTTTCTGTATATTCTTATATTTCTAGATTGTACTGCTTGTATTTTATTAAGACGACTTGAGGGATATTCTTACAATCTAATATATTCACAAAAAGGGTACATTTTATTTTATATACTATTACCCACTGGGGAGCATGTGTGTTATATTTCATCTGTTGTACCACTAGTACAGTTCCTGCCACAATTATCTCTCAGGCACAGGGGAGCGATTACACAGTTTTTAGTGTCCTGGACCTGAGAGCCAAGGTTATAACAGTTTATACATTATCATAGTCCCCTCCCAGGTCCAGTAGGGATGCCTCTGGCATATGTAACAGTAGGTCCCATGGTCAGGGCCGGACTGGGGATTCCAAAGCAGCCCTGGAAAAAAAATCTATGCCAGCCCCATAAGTCATTGCGCCATATACACACAGCTTAATGTAGTGGCTCTGGTGTCTAGAGAAAAGGCAGTGTTTACATTGCTTCCTAGTGACAGACACTCAGACGGTCAGTAGAGGTGCTTCCTGTGTCAGTGCGGATTGGTTGAGATCATCAAGCTTGATGATCTCAGCCATAAAGGCAGGGCCAGTCGAGGGGAGACCAGCACGACGTGGTGAAAAAAAAAGGTAAGTAAAAACACACATACACACACACACACATACCATGAAAGACACACACACCATGACACAGACAGACCGTGACACAGACACACACACACCATGACACAGACAGAAATACACACACACCGTGACACAGAGAGAAACACAGACACACCATGACAGACAGACAAACCCACACACACACTGACAGAGACACACACATACCATGACAGACACACACACATACCATGACAGACACACACCTTAAAAAAGACACACACACACACCATAACACAGACAGACCATGACACAGACACACACCATGACACAGATACATATTACATGACACAGACAGACGCACACACCATGACACACAGACACACACACCACGACACAGAGAGACCGTGACACACACACACCGTGACACAGACAGACACACACACCACGACACAGAGAGACCGTGACACACACACACCGTGACACAGACAGAAACACATTACATGACACAGACAGACACACACACATCATGACATACAGACACACACACCATGACAAACACACACACACACCATGACACAGACAGACCGTGACACAGAGAGACACACATTACATGAAAGACACACATACAGAATGACACAGACACACATTGCATGACACAGACAGATGCACACACCATGACAGACAGAGACACACACACAATGACACAGACACACACAATGACACAGACAGACACACACACACCATGACACAGACAGAGACACACACACCATGACACAGATGCACACACCATGACAGACAGAGACACACACACACACACCATGACACAGACAGACACACACAATGACACAGACACACATACCATGACACAGCCAGACACACACACACCATGACACAGACAGACACACACACACACACCATGAAACAGACAGACACACACACACACACACCATGACACAGACAGACACACCATGACAGACACACACACAAATGACACAGACACACACATACACTCACACTGACACACATAATTGCTACCTATGTGCTGGCAGCCGCATGGGAAGCTCTGATGGTGGCCGCCTGGGGGGAGCTGGCTCTTCTGGTGGCTGAGGAGGGAGCTCTTTTGGCGGCCGCAGGGGAAGCTGGCTGTTCTGTCTCTGTTCCCCCTCCCCAGCAAGCCTCTTAATGAGACCGGGGCCGGAATGTGTGTGTTCATTGTTTACCATATGTTATACGCATTACAATAGCTTAAAATTAAATTTATACAGATTCAACAGCGGATAATACATATGCAATGAGTGAACCTCTCCTCTTCTATTGTGCTGGGTTATTAGATGGGAATTTTTTTGATGGACTCAGATGGTCATCACATTGTCTCCTCATGGCTTACAGTCCTCAACGATATAAGATGTCCTTCTCACACACAAATGGGCAATGATTGGAACACAGTGCATAATTCCACAGACCATTTTTTGACATCATATTCCGGCCCAGGTCTCATTAAGCAGTGTGCTGGAGTGGGGGACCAGAGACAGAACAGCCAGCTCCCCCTGCGACCGCCAAAAGAGCTCCCTCTGCGGCCACAGGTCAGCCAGTCCGACCCAGTCCGGCCCTACCCATGGGGACTGACATAAAAGGCTGTGTGTGGCCCCCATTAAACCAGTTGTCCCACAGTCTAGAGCAGCTGTCTCCCTACTGTTGGAGTGCTATATCACTAGCTCTTGTAAGAGCTGTTCCTGGTCGGCATCACAGGAACCCTCACACTAGGGGGGATGGAACACCTCTGGTGGCGAAATCCCTTTTCCCTTTCGGGTTGGCCGCCACATCTAGTGGCAGCAGTGGGATGGTTCTTTTTCCCTAGAGGAGATGCTGCATCTGGATCCAAGAATGGTATAAGTGGATGGAGAAATGAATGATTGAAGCAATAAACCCTGAGGGAGTTGTTGGAGAGACGCGGTCGAACGGCAAACAACCGTACGAAAAGGGAACTACTGGCCGAACTGCTGGAAATGGACTGAACGAACACTATGCCTGAACTGGTGAACCCGAATGCAGAAGACAAATTGCTGAGAACCATTTGGCTGCGATTGGCATTGTATGGACCCAATCCCCTTCAAAAATCTGCTGCAGATGCTGAGGCTCCGGAAAAGCGACAGTACCAGTTACGCCTGATGGAGATCCAGCGTCCAGAGAGCCCAGCCATGGAAAAAACCTCAGCCCCAATAGAGCAGAAGAAGGTGTCATTCACAGCTTTTAAAAATGTCCAAGAAGCTGAGGGGTAAATAAATGCCTACCTCGCAGACTTTGAAAGACAATATGCCTTACACAAAGTGCCCACTGATGAATGGGTCACCATTCTTGCCAGAAAAGCTGTTGGGTAAAGCTGCCGAAGCATTTAGAGCTATATCCAGCAATGAGATACACTCTACAATAAAGGAAGCCTTGCTTGCCCGGTACGTTGTCACCCCCGAGGTGTACTGCAGACGGTTCCGGGAATCCAAAAAACAAAGCGAGGATTTCTACACCGAGTGGGCCTGTCGCTTCCACAGAACTGCATCCCATTGGATTACAAGTTGTCAAGTCCTATCAGATGAGGATGTGTTATAGCTGTTCCTCCTGGAACATTTTTCTAATGCCCTGCAGCTGGAGATACAAGAATGGATTAGTGACCGGAGACCCCTCGCCTTGCCTGAAACTGCTCATCTGGCCGACGAGTACACAGACTCAAGGAAAGCATGCCCCAGTAAGACGCCACCTCTTCCAGAATTCCGGGCTCTGGTGACCACGGGTCATGCACCCTACCGAGGCCCGCCTATATTGCAACCCTCCCCACCCAACAACGGGGTGCAGTGTTACCGTTGCAAACAGTTGGGACATGTGATTGTCTCCTAGAGCCCCCCAGACCTACATTGGGCCGCACTGGCACTCCACCACCCTGTGCTCAGCTATGGCCGCTCATTGCTTGGAAACTGAGATCAACACAGAGGAATACACAGGGGAGTTTTGCATGAGGCTGACCTGGTGCAAGCAGCCACCTGGGATAACCGACAACACCACGGCAAATTGTGCTGATGAACGGGAAATAGGCTGGTCGATTTAGAGATACTGGAGCTACCCTGACTTTGGTCCAACGCCACCTGGTAAGAGACAAGGAACACACCGGACAAACCGTAGCTGTTCGGGTAGCTGGGGGATCTGTAAATCGCCTATCTACTGCCATGTTCACCTAGATTGGGGGCTGGATCTGGCACTGTGAATGTGGGGATTATGAAGGATTATTGGGGAATGACTTGGCTGCCTACATCCTGAGCGTATCTGCTGAAGCCAACCCTGTCACAACTCGACTGCAAGCGAGGAATGCGGCAGCCGACTCATATGCCGGAGAGAACCAGGGAAGAGACCAAAACCAGACTGTGACTCTAGACTCGACCAAGTTAGCCTGGGATACCCCAGAGGAGTTTGTGAGGGAGACTCTCTTTGATCCCACATTGCATAAGTACTGAGTCACGGCAGACACTGAGCAAGGGAGGTTAGAGGGTTAGATGTTTATTTGGGAACAGGATAGGTTATACCGACTTACTGAAACCCTTGGCAAGACATTTGGGAGATGCATGTCCCAAATGTCTTGCCAAGGGTTTCAGTAAGTCGGTATAACCTATCCTGTTATACCAACTTACTGAAACCCTTGGCAAGACATTTGGGAACTGCATTTCCCATAGGGTGACCCAGAAATTCTTTTGGCCAGGAGTCTCTATGAACATGCAACAATACTGCAAGACCTGTGATGCTTGTCAGCGGGTAGGGAAGGGTGGTTGCCACCCTAAAGCTTGGCTGTTATCTATGCCCATTATTGAGGAGCCCTATAGCTGAATATCAGTCGACCTAGTTGGACCCCTGGCTAGACCCAGTCCATCCGGTAAGAAGTACATTCTTATCATGGTGGACTACGTCACCCACTATTCTGAAGCGATTGCCCTCTTGAAGACTGTCCATGCAGAGACAGTTGCCGAGGCTCTGGTTAGGATGTTCGCTAGGCTGGGGTTTCCCAAGGAGATCATTCACCGCAGACCTAATCCAACAGCTGTGGAAGGTATGTGGTATTAAGCCCATACTTAGCTCGCCTTACCACCCCCAGACCAATGGTCTCTGTGAGCGGTTCAATGGTACCCTCAAGCAGATGTTGAGGACCTTTACCGATGTTTGCAGAGACTTGAAGTGGTTCGTGTCGCACCTCTTGTTTGCTTATTGAGAGGTGCCTCAGAAATCTACTGGGTTTTCCCCTTTCAAGTTGCTCTATGGGAGAAGGGTGCGAGGACCCCTTGATCTCATTAGGGAACACTAAAAGGGGAAATGGAACACGGAGGGACCCCCATTGTGCCGTATGTAGTGGAACTCAGGGACTGCATGGAGCAGTTGGCTAAGATGGTAAAGGACAATCTCCAGGCGACTCAGGGGCGACAGAAAGTTTGGTATGATTGGGGTGCATGTCAGCGTACGTTCCAGGTGGGGCAGAGAGTCCTGGTGCTGAAACCTACCAGACAGGACAAACTTCAGGCAGCATGGCAGGTCCCCTACAAGGTGGTGGAACAGCTCTGTGACACCACCTTAGTAGTCGCAAGCTGTGCCGATGAGAGGATACGGAGATCCTTTTATATCAACATGCTGAAGGAGTACCAAGAGAGACAGGAAGACATAGCAGTAGTATGTGTCCCAGTTACAGATGACCAGGACAATCTCCCCCTCCCCAATCTGCTAGAAAGGGCTATTCAAACTGATATCATTAGTCAGGTGAAATTAGTGATAGATTAATGGAGGTAGAGAAGGATCAGGCTCACTAGTTATTAGAAAGTAGACCTTTTCCCAAGAGCACAGGTACACCACTCTAGCTACCCACAAAGTAGAGACCCCCTGGGCAAGCACCACTCAGACAACCTCCCTACCATATCCCTGAAGCAGTTTGAGAGGGAAGGAGATACAGAAAATGTTACAGCTAGGCATCATCTAACCCTCTGATAGTCCGTGGGCCTCACCGGTAGTCCTCGTATCTAAGAAAGATGGGACTACCCAGTGTTGACTACCAGCGACTAAATGACAAGACTGTTACAGACGCGTTCCCGATGCCCTGGATAGATTAACTGCCAGATTGCATTGCCAGGGGACAATATCTGTCCACCATAGACTTGTGCAAAGGATATTGGCATATCCCCCTGGCTGAGGAAGCTATCCCCAAGTAGGCCTTCGTCACCTCATTTGGCTTGTATCAGTTTAGGGTCATGCCATTCAGGGTGAAGAATGTCCTGGCCACCTTCCAGCGCATGGTGGATAGACTCCTTGATGGCTTCCAGGATTTCGCCTGTGCGTAACTGGATGACATTGCAATCTACAGTGAGTCCTGGAAAGAACACTTAGTTCATGTAGGGACACTGCTGGACCAGGCCTGACTCTGAAGCCAGACAAGTGTCATCTTGGTATGGCAGAAGTTCAGTATTTGGGATACAGAATGAGGTGTGAAAAGCAGCGACCAAATCCCAAGTGTTGGCTTGTTTGTAAAACCACGGGGTATTACAGACATTTGTTACCTGAATATAGCACTATTGACAAACCCCTGACCGACCTGACAAAGAAAAGCTTACCCAGGCAGGTCCTGTGGTCACCAACATGTGACTCACTAAAGCAAGCCCTGATAAATGCTCCTGTCCTTGCTGCCCCAGTCCCTAACAAGTGTTTTATTGTACACACAGATGCTTCCATGTTTGGACTGGGGGCAGTCCTAATCCAAGTTGGAGAAGATGGAGGAGGGCACCCTGTCACATACCTCAGTAGGAAGTTGTCGCCCAGGAGCTGAGCTACATCGCTGTGGAAAAAGAATGTCTAGCCTGGTTGGGCATTGAAGAAACTAACCTCTTATTTGTATGGATGGAAATTTACATTGGTCACAGATCACAATCTGTTGGTGTGACTTAACCAGATTGCGGGTTATAATGACCGACTACTACAGTGCAGTTTGGCACTACAACTCTACATTTTTCTACTACTTGCCAGGTAAGCAGAATGGCAACGCCGATGGGTTGTCCCGACAGATGGAACAAGGCACATAACCCAAGACCAGACATCCCCAAGTTGACCTAAAAAGGGTCAAACCAGAGTGTTCCACAAGGTGGAAGCACTGTGATGGATCACCCTGTCCCTGAATTGTAATTACTGTTTTATTTTCTTATATGTTCAGGGCATTGCAGTTTATTTCACTTTATTATTATTTCGTTCACCTACCAAACAAACTCCCGAACGAATAGACCACCCATATGTGGAGTGTGCCACTCATTGACTCCTGTCTCCTCATAAACATCATCCTAAACCGCAAACGTTCTGAGTGGTCACTGTTCGACAAGCCATTTGGACTTCAGTAAATAACCCCATAAATTATATATAGGATGTATATGTAATAGACAATAATTTAGTGTATGTTGTGTGTTTAGTTTATATAATGTTTTACTGATATCTAATAGACTATTCAAATAACAACAAGTAATATCTTAAGAAAAATCAATAATTTACTTCAATTAGTCAGGAAATATATATACAGTTGCAAGAAAAAGTATGTGAACCCTTTGGAATGAAATGGATTTCTGCACAAATTGGTCATAAATGTGATCTGATCATCATCTAAGTCACAACAATAGACAATCACAGTCTGCTTAAACTAATAACACACAAAGAATGAAATGTTACTATGTTTTTATTGAACACACCATGTAAACATTCACAGTGGAGGTGGAAAAAGTATGTGAACTCCTAGACTAATGACATCTCCAAGAGCTAATCGGAGTGAGATGTCAGCCAACTGGAGTCCAATCAATGAAATGAGATTGGAGGTGTTGGTTACAGCTGCCCTGCCCTATGAAAAACACACACCGGTTTTGGGTTTGCTTTTCACAAGAAGCATTGCCTGATGTGAATGATGCCTTGCACAAAAGAGCTCTCAGAAGACCTACAATTAAGAATTGTTGACTTGCATAAAGCTGGAAAGGGTTATAAAAGTATCTCCAAAAGCCTTGCTGTTCATCAGTCCATGATAAGACAAGTTGTCTATAAATGGAGAAAGTTCAGCACTGCTGCTACTCTCCCTAGGAGTGGTCGTACTGTAAAGATGACTGCAAGAGCACAGCACAGACTGCTCAATGAGCTGAAGAAGAATCCTAAAGTGTCAGCTAAAGACTTACAAAAGTCACTGGCAAATGCTAACATCCCTGTTAGCGAATCTTCAATACGTAAAACACTAAACAAGAATGGATTTCATGGGAGGATACCACAGAGTAAGCCACTGCTGTCCAAACAAAATATTTCTGCACGTTTACAGTTTGCACAAGAGCACCTGGATGTTCCACAGCAGTACTGGCAAAATATTCTGTGGACAGATAAAACCAAGGTTGAGTTGTTTGGAAGAAACACAAAACACTATGTGTGGCGAAAAAAAGGCACAGCACAGCAACATCAAAACCTCATCCCAGCTGTGGTGGGGGCATCATGGTTTGGGGCTGCTTTGCTGCGTCAGGGCCTGGACGGATTGCTATCATCGAAGGAAAAATGAATTCCAAAGTTTATCAAGACATTTTGCAGGAGAACTTAAGGCCATCTGTCTACCAGCTGAAGCTCAATAGAAGATGGGTGTTGCAACAGGACAATGACCCAAAGCATAGAAGTAAATCAACAAGCGAATGGCTTAAACAGAAGAAAATATGCCTTCTGAAGTGGCCCAGTCAGAATCCTGACCTCAGCCCGATTAAGATGCCCGATTAAGATGCTGTGGCATGACCTCAAGAAAGCGATTCACACCAGACATCCCAAGAATATTGTTTAACTGAAACAGTTCTGTAAAGAGGAATGGTCAAGAATTACTCCTGACCGTTGTGCACGTCTGATCTGCAACTACAGGAAACGTTTGGTTGAAGTTATTGCTGCCAAAGGAGGTTCAACCAGTTATTAAATCCAAGGTTTACATACTTTTTCCACCTGTTTACATGGTGTGTTTAATAAAAACATGGCAGCATTTCATTCTTTGTGTGTTATTAGTTTAAGCAGACTGTGATTGTCTATTGTTGTGACTTAGATGATGATCAGATCACAATTTATGACCAATTTGTGCAGAAATCCATATCATTCCAAAGGGTTCACATACTTTTTCTTGCCACTGCAAGAAATATTCCAATATTCCAATATTCCAATATTCCAATATATATCTAGTATATGTTTTAGATATTCTAGATAAAAAGTCATTAGTAGTGGAGAGTATTGTTAGCCTTTATCAGCAATAGGTCTTCATATTCTATGTTCCACGGTATGGTATTTGAAAAAAAAATGCTTTGTATCTGCATGACGCAGCAAATAATCGGATTAGTTAGACAAGTCAACTTTTTTTCCAAGATTTCACTCTGTAGATTTGGTACAACTGTGCCCACTGTTGCCATCTTTATGTTCTTAGCATGTGTGCTCTTCTGCACAGCACTGTTGTAATGCACGGTTATTTTAGTTAGTTTGAACCAGTTTGGTCATTCTTCTTTTGCTTTTTTTATTAACAAGTCATTTCACCCTCAGAACATCTTACCCTTTTCACTTTTCCTACCATTAGCTATAATATCTAGACACTTTTATATGTTAATATCCCAGATGAGAATTTTTAAAGACACTCAAACCAGCGTGTCTGGCACCAGGTCACAGTCACATAATAAATATTTCTTCCCCATTTTGATGTTTGGTGTGACTAATAGCTTAACCTATTGGCCATGCTGGCAGACTTTCATGCATTGGGTCGCTGTCCCATGACTCATTGTTAAGATAGTTCTATTGATGGAGAAGTGTACCTCCTGATGTAGCCAATAAGTACAGAACATGGGGTCAAGAACCCTGTGTGACTTTGTGTTTTTTTTTAATAATCGCTTACCTTATAGCTATAAGGTAAGCGATTATTAAAAAAAAACACAAAGTCACACAGGGTTCTTGACCAAATATCAGATTTTGTTCAAATGGAAAAAATATGGTTAAAATTGCTGAATTCCATATCTGACCGATTTTGTAGAATTTGTTCAAATGCATTATAAAATCACCAATATCTGCATCCGAACCAATTTACAGCACATGATTCGGACATTGATCAATGACTGCATGGCAGCCAAGGGTAAACAGAATGCATCCGGAAGGAGACACATTTGCAAATTATCATTCACTTACTTTTTGCAAGTGAATCGATAATTTGAATAACTATTTGCCCACTGACAGCACTAGCAGACAGTGGGTAGTTAGTTAAAAATCCTTAGCGGAATAAGGTTAATTAAAAAGTAAGAAAATAAAATGAAAGTAAGAAAAAAACATCCTAAAGGGGTTGATAAGACTGTCATATTACTGTAATAGAGGTGTATTACCTTGATATTGCCTCACGGGGCATGGCTTATCTACTATATATATGAACCTACTGGGTAGCCATTTTCCATGCTTTGCAATATGCCCAAGATCTCTCTGATTGGTTGACTAGTAAGACAACCAATGAGCTCTGACAGCCAAGTCTTGAAAGAAGTGACTCTTGGTTATACTGCAAAGTTTGGAAAATTTACCCACATTTTTGATAGGCATCATAGTGTAGTAAAGCCTATAAAAGTGCTTTGCAACAGGGTTTTGATTTTTGTAATTGGACCTTTTTTAAATTTATTTAGTGGTGTTGGTTATTCTGTATTTTTCTTTGATCTTTTTGAGGGGCTGAAGTATGTGAAAACATAAAACTTTGAATGGTAAGTATAATTGAACACTTTTTAGATCTATTGGCTCCCTGCTTACTATTAGTGGGTAGGTATGGACTTTAATTTTAATGGCATGTGTATAATGGCATGTCCACCACCCTATTTTACAATAAATTAGGCATCCACCCCCACCTGCCACCCATGGGTGGTCAATAAGACCCTCCTTTTATTACTAATATTAGGACATCCACCAACCCAACATTTAGAAGATGTACCCACACCTGCCACATAGCACATGGAGACATGTGGAGGTGTTATGTGAAGTTATTACTATTATAGTAATTTGAGGATCTTATTTAATCCATATAATTTTTATTTATTTATTTTTTCTATGCGTTTTTCTTTGGTGTCTGGTTAATTGTTATTTTAACTATTTACCTTCTGGCTGCTAAGTGCTGCTAGCATACAAAGAGTTCAGATCTTTATAAATCCGGGCCTGGATCTGCAGCATTCAGTCTGGATTTCAGTCGTCCGAGTTAGTTAAAAAATCCATACATTTATGAATTCCACAAAAAATGTCTGGATTTTGCAGTCTGAATGGTCCAATACAGCATCAAATGGTTTAACCCATTCGGTATGGGGCCATTTGGACTATGGTAAATTACTCAAAAAACAGCTGCACTTGAATCTACTTACGTTTGATTAAGGTCATATCTTGTTCCGTCAACCCATTTCCAATCACCATTTTCCTTAGAGAGACCAATCCAATTTATCTCATTGCCAGTAAATTCAACTATATACTCCTTGTAGGGATGAAGAATGAAACAATCAATGTATAGCTCATTCCATTCACGTTAATGCATACACCTCCTTCCTAGCAAGTTCTATTAGAATCTGCTTCTTTACATCAACTCACAGGCACTCTATTCCCATTACTCTAATCATATCATACCACATTCTGGCTTTCTCACTTTTATTTTTATATTTATTTTTCTTCTGCTTTTTTTTCTCCATTTATGTATTTTGTAAGGAAAGAGAAACATGATAGAATTATCTTTATCTTTAAGGATATTTTTCAGTTTTTTTTGTTTCACATGGTATTTTTGTTTAGATTGCTGCATATATTTGTTGCATATTTTTTAGTATTTTATTTTACAAATTCTATTTATATAACACAGATCATGTATGCAACTTTCAATATATGTATGTGCGTGAATATTATTATATTAATATAAGTGAATATTAACACCCGGTTATTTATACACTCTAAATACACAAATAGGGTTCCAGTTCAATAATTTTGTATAAGCTTTATAAATTATTTAATTTTTTTTTAAAAAAAAAACCAAAAAAATTATATATTAAAAAAATAACAAATTATTAAAATATTAAAATGTTTTCAAAATGGTAAATCCATTTAAAAGTGTATCCACAAATTTTAAACCATGGACTATATGTCTCCTTTCTGTTCCTTGATTTAATTTAAGATTTAACATTGGTGATTTTTGGTATGTACACAGATATATCACTAATTTTCATGGTGGCATATATACTGTTTCACCAAATAAATATTTAATGGGCCAACAGTTATATATTTTCTTATATATTCTTTGAAAAAGGCCTGCATTGGGGAGTACTCATTAATCATAGTCCTATCAGTTTTTGTAACAACAAATTAAGAATTAAGAACACACCCTTAATTCAGTGTATGTTTGTGTAAGTATGATCACCCTCATATAATATAAATGTGAGTTATTCACTAACATGAGAATTAAAAGTAAATTCAAAGTGAATTACACATCTAATGCCAAAATATACGAATTGTAAAAAAATATCCAAGTCAGCTAAGCTTTCAATTTGTCTACTTTGGGCTAAAATGTAAAATTCTCATTGAATTAATTTTGAATTCTCACTTTATGGAATACCCTGTTAATATTGGCCGTTATGTTCCTTTTATACTTTATTAGTCATTAATTGAAATTGGGATCCCTGGATAAAAATACTCTTCAGTAGGATGAGAAATTACTGCTAATGTTCTTTTCTGACAGGTAGATAGTTATGGCACTGTTATTAAATCATGTCAGTGTTTTTAAACCAACCTTTTCAGCCGCACTGTTGATTACGACCAAGTGAGAGTTTTTTGACTCACAAAATGTCTTGGAATTATTGAAAGATTTATTATCCTTGAAGTATCTGTAACAGCTCAGGTGGGAATAAGACCAGCCTTGTTCACAGATGGGGTCCAAGGATTCTGCAACAGGTAGATATATGGTTATCTGGATATATATGGCACCGAACGGAAGTGGGTGGTAGCCAGTGGCGTACACAAGATTCATGGGGCCCCCCCTCCCCCTGGTGCTGAAACACATGGTGGCGGGCACCTGGTTGCAAGGCTGCGACCCCTGCGACCGTGGTGTGCCGCCAGTGCATGCCGATACACTTAAAGGACCACTGTAGGCACTCAGATCACTTCAGCTCAATGAAGAGGTCTGGGTGCCAGGTTCCTCTCGTTTTAACCCTGCAGCTGAAAACATAGCAGTATGTTTCACTGAGGGTTAATCCAGCCTCTAGTAGCTGTCTCACTAGAGGCGATTCCGCTGGACGTCCATAGGAAAGCACTGAGTAATGCTTTCCTATGGGCGGTTTGAATGCATGCATGCGCTTTCGGAGTTGAGAGGTGGATCGGGGCGGAGAGATCCCAGTGCCAAGGGATCCCGGCACTGGAAAAAGGTAAGTGCTGAAGGGGTTTTAAATACACACACACACTCTCAGAAACAGACTCATACACACTAGCTAACAGACACACACATTTACTGACAGGCACACACTCAGTGACAGACAAACATACACACTCACTTACAAAACATACACTCTCACTGACAAACACACACTCACTAACAGACACACACTAACAGACACACACTAACAGACACACACTAGCAGACACACACTAGCAGACACACACTCAATAACAGACGCACAAACACACTCAGTGACACACACACACAGTAACACTCACTAACACACTTACTGACACTCACTAGCAGACACACACAAACTAACACACACACACAGTAACACACTCACTGACACACACAAACTAACAAACTCATTAACAGACACACACACACAGTAACACACTTACTGACGCTCACTAGCAGACACACACAAACTAACACACACAGTAACACACTCACTGACACACACAAACTAACACACTCATTAACAGACACACACACACACACACACACACACAGTAACACACACTAACACACATACACACTCACATATTTTTTTATTTTATTTAATCCCCAGCCTCCCTACCTTTGGGAGTGCTGTGGGGATTCCTGCTGTCCCTGGGGTCCAGTGGGGTCCTGCTGTCCCTGGGGTCCAGTGAGGTGTTGCTGGGCTGCCGGCCAGGCTGCTGGGCGCGTGTGCGAGGGAGGGAGCACTCTCCCCTGAATGCTATTCCGCCTCCGGCATCAGTAAGCAGTGCGAGGGAGCTGGGCAGAGAGCATTCAGGGGAGAGTGCTCCCTCCCTTATGAGCCCAGCAGCCCGGCCGGCAAACTGAAGCCACTGCCAGCCTTGGGGCACCCCAGGAGAAGAGGCTGGCAAAATGTGGCCACACTGCCACTGGCGTGCATACCGGGTCGCAGGGCCTAGCCCGGTAGCAGCCGCGAAGCCTGCGACCCCAGTATGTATGCCACTGGTAGTAGCTTTGAACAAGGTCAGAAGATTGAGTGGCTTTAAAATGCAGCCTTGATAAGTTTCCGACCCCATCTCTGCATGCAATAGTGATGGTGGTTGGTGGCCTGGCCCATAACTCTTATTCAAGAAAAAAATACTACACAGTTCAACTCTAAATATGTTGAAAGCTGTATTCCTTCTGACCTTAAATCCCTCACCCTGGTGTTAATGGGCTAAATAATTCTTTAACTACTCACCTGACTCGGCACTGGATGGCTCTCCACCTCCTCCGACATCAGCGATGGGGAGACTTAATGCACATGAGTGTCGAGGACTGTGGCAGATTAGGCCTTCCCCATGGGAAATTATTGACTTAATACTTTCTTATGGAAATTCTGGATGACATCCAGCATCAATTCATGTGAAACTGCAAGAAGCCCATCTACTGGCTGTCTTAACCCTGAAATGTAATCATTGCTAGTGTGACCAGGTAAGGGCGCTGTGAACATTATTTACACAGGGCACCTAAAAACCTAAGGCCAGACCTGTGTATTAGAGCTTCTTTTCTCCTGACACTCAAAAAATAACATTTTTAAATAATTTATTTGCTTCCCTCCCCCCTTTCAGAATACACTAGTAGTCATAAAACCTCACTGGGAATTGTGTGAATCTTCATTTTACAATATATATATATATATATAATAACAAGTCTCTTTTTGTACCTTTCTGTTACCTTGGAAATCCACAACAAAAATATGAAGGCAGCCTTGAAAAGTAAATATTAAAGAATAACCATTTCAATTTCATATTATTAATATTTACTTTCCTAGGCTGCCTCCGTGTTTTTCTATATTCATTAAAGGGGATTCCCCGCTGTTTTTGGCAACCTTTATCATTCCTTTCTATCTAGCTAACACTTTATTATCTGTCTGTTACCTTATCTCACAGGAACATGTGTGCCCAACATATATATTTCTCATCTGTGAAAACTTAGATTGTAACCATTTCTCAATCTTCAGAACCAGAAATCTCCTTTTAATTTATTAAGCAGCAAATAAACTCATATAATCAGCTGTCTGTTCCTTTTACAAATACTAGTATCTACACCTCCGCACAACATATGTATTTCCTTTTTTACATTTCGACATAATGTTTTTTTTGTTAAACTTTTCAGATGTCTGGTGTGGTGAGATTCTGTCATCAAAGTAATATGGTGACCAGGGGTCATGTGACCAAACTCAGGTATGCCTTTCTTACAGGGGGATAAGCTTTACCCTTTGATATGGTAATTAGATAAATCAATACCTTTACAAGTCAGGAAAAAGAGAACCACGTCACCTTATCTCCATTCCTCCCTCTTCCCGTTTGGATGTGATATTAAACAGACATGTGAGCAGACATGAGCTAAGGTTTAGTTGTTATTGTCAGTTAGCTAGTCAGTTAGATTGGAGTTTTTGTGATTGTTTTAGTTTCATTAGATTGTGTGTCATTATTTGAATGTTGTTGCTGTTTTGTCTCTGAATAAATGTTTGTTAAAGTAGACAGACCAAAGTTTATATGTGTATGCGTACATATATAGTTTGATAATTCACGACACCTGGTAATCATCATATTTTACCAACACTTGGTACTGAAAGAGTTAATATATATATATATATATATATATGCACTTAAAATGTTTTTCTAGTACTGGGATCTGCAAATTGTTGTTGTACAACTGCAAATTCTATTATATTTGGCCATTCATCTTATTGAATTGGCAATAGTTCTTGGGGGTCTCACATTGTCCCTTCACTCTGAGTTAAAACAGGTTTTGAGCAGTGTAACACTGAAAGGGGGTTTCTGTCTATCCATAGTCTGGCACCTACCAGAGGCAGGAGCAGACAGACAACTCACAGGGTCCCTGGGAAATAAGTAATCGAAAGTCCCCCTTTGTCCCAGTGCCACACTTCCACTGGCTGACACACACACACATCCTCCCCACACATTGACTGTAATAGCCTAAATGTTAAAGTTTTTTCTTATTAGACAGTGTGTTTAATTTAGATTTTCCTTTTGCCTGCTCTGTTAATTGCCGATAAATCCTACAACAACTTCCTGTGTGTGATAAAAGTTCAATAAACGCAGCAGGGAATAAAAATATCTAAAGTAAACATAGTGTGCTGTAAGATCTAATTATAAAACAGACCTTATTTCTTTTTCATGGAGGCTGTGTGAGTCACATGCAGGGAGGTGTTGCTTGGTTTAAAAATAAAATATCTAACTCCTAAATGTCAGAGGATTGAGCAGTGAGGTTGCAGGGGTATGTTCTATACACCAAAACTGTTTCAGATGTAGTTGTTTGATATTTAGAGTGTCTTTTTAAACCCAGCATGAGTAAACATACAGTAGTACAATAATCTACTTACTGACTAATTGCTTGAACGCCCAGCCTGATATTCTCTCCAAGGTGGATTTCAAATTGTCATGCTGCAACCTTCCTGTCAAGAGAACACACATTTATTGTGGAATTTCACAACAATCACACTCAATATACACAACAATGACAATCTCCCCATACATAACTATTAAAGAACACGTTTACCTGCCTTCTACAAACCCCATCTCGTTCCCTCTTCAATAACTGTTCCTTATTTAATCTACATATCTTTCATCATTTACAGTCACTATAACCACGCAGAGCCTCTCTCTAAATCCCCCAAACCTGTCTGTCCCACGTAAAATATAATGGTGTGGAACGTACTGCCTCCCCCCTGGCCCCGACCCATAAGCAGCGGGTGGGGGACCTAGTAAAAAATAGGGGGGGAGGACCTATTCTCCCCCTCCGGTCCCCACTCATGAATGGCAGGTGGGGCCTAGTGTTGTACCCCCCATGAGCAGCGGGTTGGTGCTCTCAAATACAATGGAGGGGACCTACTGCCTTCCCCCCAGCCCCCACCCATGAGCAGCAGATGGGAACCCTCACATACAATGGGGGGGACCTATTCCCTCCTCCCCCGGCCCTCACCCACCCATGATCAGTGGGTAGGAGCCCTAGTAAAACATAGGGGGAGACCACTGGCTGCTCACTATTTAGTAGACATGCCCCTACTTGCAGTATAGTGAGTAGATGCAGAAGGGAGATTTTAATCTCCCTTAATTACTAATACTAAGTAATCTTTAATTGGTATTAGTAAATTTGTCTGAAAGACCAATTTAGGTCTTTCAGCCTTTTAGTAGAAAGCTTCCTAATATCTTGGGAATTAGGCAGCTATCTACTCGTGGCATGAATAGGATCAGAGTTTAATTATTTCTAATAAAATTCCGATCCAAACAAAAACTCCCAGATTGCATCCTAACATGATTGGACAAACTGTTCTCATTCTGTCAGAAAGAAATTCGGTAGTTTTGCCAGCGTTCGAACACCCAATGAAGCAGCAAGAGGAAGGTGAGTATTGTCGGAAATTGAGATCTTGAGAGTGGGAGAGAAGAGGAAGCGAATGGGGAAAGGTAAGTTTGGCTTGACAATGCTGCTTTAATTAATAATGCAGAATTAATATTAAAGTTAATGGACAACTGTCACTTCCCAAGGTGTTTAATATTATTTACTTATTTCCTGTTTTTAGCAAATATAGGTTTATGAATAGTGAAACGTAACATGAAATGTAGAAATGAACACATTTTTATCCTAAAACTGGGTTTCCCCATCTTAGCTCCCTGTCAGTCATCATTATCTGTCCTTTGCCCCTCGTGGTCAGCATCGAGAGGGCATACAGAGAAGAGGAGAAATGAAATAATCAGGGTCATGTAAAAAGAGTGTTGCTCATTTATTTCAGCTTTTACGTAATTTTTTAATTTGGCATATTTTTTCCATTATTAAAGGGACATTGTAGGCATGTAACTGCTTCATCTCATTAAAGTTGTGATATTGTCTGTAGTCCCCTGGTGTCATCTTTTTTATTCTGTGTAAACCTATTGTTTATGTTCTATGGCAACAATTTCCTCGTTGAATCGATAACAACACATTTTTCTCGCACCTTTTGTGTGACATGTTTTCACTGTCCGTGTATAAAAGAGAAGTGAAATTTTGCTCTATTTTTTTCTGTTATTTTATCACACCATTGTCAGTCTGCTGTAACCAGAAAATAAAATGTTCCAATGTATAAAGAGGGAATTTATATTTGCTTTTATACGTAAGAAACTGACCATGTTGGAAAATTATGGTGTGAACAGAAAAGAAAACAGCTTTTATAATTTTTTTCTATTTATCCTCTTCATTCGCAATGTGTGCCCTGCCTGTGCCTTGCCTGAACTGGATTAGGATGTCATTTGTGAAATTGTGACAGTTAACCTTTAAAATTACTTTTAGTAAAAATTCACAGAAAGCAAGTATTATATGTGTGATTGCTGTGTGTGTGTGTGTGACTCTAACTGTGTGTGTGTGGCTGTCTACATGTAACTGTGTGTTACTTAGACTGTATGTATGGCTGTATACATGTGACTGCCCACCTGTACCTGTGTATTCTTCATTGTCTGCTTGTAACTGTGTGTGTGACTTTCTGCCTGTAACTCTGTGTGTTACTGTCTGTCTGTTATTTTGTTTGTGTGACTATCTGCCTGTAATTGTGTGTGTGTGTCTGTATGTAACAGTGTGCTACTGTCTGCCTGTAGCTGTGTGTGAGTGTGTCTGCCCATAACTGTTTATGACTGCCTGTACCTGTGTGGCTGCCTGATCCCACCCCTAGTGTATAATAGCTGTGAGTGTTGTTTTAATGCTAGGGTGTAACAGCTGTGGAATATTTGCAAAACTATATGCAATGAGCATACCCCAAACAGGAACGCAGTGGGTTGGGTAAAAGGAGGCATTGATGGGGAATATTTAATATTTTTGGAAATTAGATGGAATGTGTTATGTGTATACTGTATCTGCTTAATGTGATGTGAACAATTGGAGTTATCATGCAAGTTACACTTTTACAAATTCCTGTTAATCTATGCCTGAACTAATCGATTCATTGCGTAAATCCTGGATCAATTCATTTGGCCACAGAGTAACAGGAATTTGTTTAGTTCGTTGCAGGTAAGAAGGATTTTGAAGTGAATTTCCAACTTAAAACCAAAGTAGCCAAACAGCTGACTTGGAGAATATTTCCAGTTAAATTAGACATTTATTTAAAATTTACTGTGAATTCCCCACAATTTTCACTTTATAAGTAACGTGAATTGTGTTTATAAGATAAACATAGTCTAGTGCATTATTCTATGCTTTCAGCTCAAAGTTATCGAGGGCTTTAAATATTAATATATAATTAAATCAAATCCCATTTACCTTCTTGAGAAATAAATTCCATCTGTGCGTTCACACTAACATTCATATTAATAAACATGAACTCTAGTTTTTGGTTCATCTGTTTCAGTTTATGGTCTGCGCAAGAAATAAATAGAAGAATCATTGTTAAAGTGTGCTATCTGAGATCACTCGAGCCACTACTATATCAAGTACATAAGTCCATGCTATGGGTTTTATTCAATAATCAATGATCAATTAACAACACCTCTGCAAAGCTTAGACCATAATAAAAAGCTGCAAAGTTAGTTAGAGTTTTGTTTAGAACTTGGAAGATGAGCTCTGGGGAAACTAATATAAAAACACAGCTTTAAGATGTTTGACATGTAAACTATGTTTGAGAACGACTGACGTAAATTGTGCTTAGCCCTCTATGCTTCCCTTTAATGTCTGCTTTGATATCAAGTAGAAGATAACATGTAGCTGATGGTCTCCACTTGGATGCACCCTATCTGTCGGCACTGACAATCTACACTCCTTGAATAATTTTAACTTTTTATTTTAAATATATGTATAGATTTTTATTTTTATTTTTTACAAATTACACCAATCGAAATGTTAAAATATATTTTTATATTTTATTTAGATTTTTTTTTCTTCAGGATATCTCTTTCTAAACATCCAAATGCTGAAATATGTATATAATTTCAGAAAGGGGCTTAAAATAGTAATTTTTCTTGTTAAAAAAAAAACATGATGGAGACCCAAGATGAACTTGGTCTAGTGCAGGTGGTACAATAGTTACTTTAAATAGTTACTTTAAATGGATACTCTGCTGTTGGTTTTGACCTTTCACATTGACCAGTTTAGAATCAATAACCATTCAGTAACTCTATGTTTCTTCATTAGATCATTAATATACAGTTCTTACATGGGACAAGTGCACTTATCATGGCAGTCATGAGGAGAAGTCCAACACAGAGGGCGACCAGTCCATAAAGAACATAAAAAGATTGTTGTTGACTCTGTGGTTGTAATGGCTTTTTTTTCCTGAAATCTGAGCGAGATATACATTAAATATGTCTTCATACAGAAAATATTATTCATTATTTCTGAGATAACATCTATTTAACTTTAGGTTGCTTCCATCCTCTGTATAGGAGTCTTAACTTCTCATAACAGCTACAATGACACTTTTCTATAGACATTACCCTCTGTCTCCCATTATCTCCATTATGACTGACTTTAAGTGTATTACTATTGTTACTTTTTACCTGTTACGGTGTTTAAATGTAGGCTCTTCGCATTCTGGTATTCATTCTCTGACATTTCCTAGGGGAGGGAGGTACAATATAAACACCATGCACTCCATAAGAATGGCCTCACATACAAATCATACACATATTCAACCATTTTCTTTATTTATTTGGATAGTTTGGTAAATCACCAAAATGCTAGACAGCTCCAACTTGGTAGTGAACTTAGAGAAACGGAAATTACAATGAATAGTTCATGACAGCAGAAATTATTTTATCAAAGCAAGAGTCAGAACATAGAATAATTTCTATATGGAAACTAGTTCATTATTTTAAAACGGCACTGTCAAACTTACCTTCCCCCAATCGCTTCCTCTTCTCTTCCTCTCTGAGAATCTGTTTCCCTTTCTGATCTAGTTTTCTTTTAAACGTAAGATGTAAAATTAAATTCACAGGACATCCAATCAGGGACTGTTTTGGTCCTTCAGCCTTTTAGTAGATGGCTCCCTAATGCCATGGGAATTAGGGAGTTACCTACTAAATAGCTGTAAGATGCAGCGGCGGCACTAATCGGATCGGAATTTCCTTCGTTCAAATAAAATTTTGAACCGAACAAAATGCACAAATTTCTTTCTAACACAAATGGACAAACTGTACTCATTTTGTTAGGATGAAATTCAGTAGTTTCTTCGTCATCCTGTCTATATGACAGGTCGTTCAAATGGCGAATTAAGCAACTAGAGATCACGGAGGAGAGGTGAGTATTGTGGGAAAATGTATTTGACCACAACAAATGGAGCGGACTTAAGCTCCTTCTCGAAGTTCCTACTTGGACTTAGGCCTCAAAACCTTAATGACTTGGAGAGAATCTGCAAAGAGGAGTGGGACAAAATCCCTCCTGAGATGTATGCAAACCTGGTGGCCAACTACAAGAAACATCATCTAACCTCTGTGATTACCAACAACGGTTTTGCCACCGTACTAAGTCAAAGAGGTCAAATGCTTATTTCACTCATTGACATGCAAACAATATATTACTTTTTTGACATGCATTTTTGGGGATTTTTTTTATTGCTATTCTGTTGCTCACTGTTACACTTACCCTTGGAAAACATTAAAAATCAGCAGGGGATCAAATGCTTTCTTCCCTCACTGTATCATTAGAAAAAGAGAGACACTGAATGCATTTTGGGAGAGATAGGAGGAGCACCACAAGAGGGCAGTGTCACATAAACTGAGGGATTAGAAGGAGGGCATGGTGAACAGTGTTAAAGGCAGCAGAGCGGTCATGATAGATTAGTAGAGTGCAAGGTGCGGTAGTCAGATTGAAGAGGGCTGAGGAGAAAGTTGGAATTGAGAAAGCAAGCCAAATTAGTAAAGACAAGTCTTTCTAGAAGCTTTGAAGAAAAAAAGAGCAGGGATATGGGATGATTCTTGGAAGGGGAAGGAAACAACAGTAGCATGTTTAAGGGAAACAGGGACAGAAGAAAGAGAGCACTTGAAGATATGCATCAAGGACAGCACAAGGCAAGAGGATAGAGATCTGATAAGGTGAGATGGTATGGGATAACGCAGGCAAGTGGATGGGCGAGATTATATATTCTCTCTTTTTTATGATTTTTGATTTTTGCTACATCAGGTAAAAACAAAATTTGTGTGAGATATTACATGCAGTGAATATATTATTTTACATCCAAACTAAAGAAAATAAACCTATTCACTCTTGTATGTTCTTACAAATAAAACTCAATAAATTAAAGTAGCTTGGGAAAGTTTAAATAAGGGCTTTGAATAATTATATTAATAAAATATACATTTGACAACTAAATTACACTTGTGGAAATTTAATGAGCAGAAAAAAAGAATCACTATACTTGTGTACAAATCCCATTTCAGATGGATGAACAAATCAAATGTCTGCCATTCTTTGGGTGAAAGAATCTACTTGTACATCCATAGATTCACAGGCATTTGATTCATTCAGCACAGCTAAAGGAGATTTGTGCACAAGTCTAAAATTTGAAACACAGGAAATCAAATCAGAACCCCCGAATCTCATGTGCACAGAATGCGCAGGAAATAAAAAGTCTTCATGCGGGAATGGAACTCCGTCTATAACTGAAAGAAGTGATCCATTTGGAATTTTACCTGAGAAGTCTTATTCCCACACTTATACAGGTTGGGCCAAAATTCAAAGTTCATAGCATTAGTTAATGTTTAAAGCTCCAGCGCTCAAATTTCTGCACAGATATTCTCCTTGAGCTGCTCAAGTCCACGCAGTTTGTTGAGATACACTTGCTCCTTCAGATATCCTAACAGGAATTCATTGGGAGCTGAAAGTGTGGACAAACATGGCGACTATTTAATGTGGAAATTATCCACTCACCGAACAGTTGTCTCAGCCTTGAAAATAAAATTCAACTATTTTTACTTGTTGCACCTTCGTGAAATCACCCATGACGAGTCTTTCAAGACTCTCCTATAATATGTACCTGCAACAACAAAAATCGAACTACTAACAAATACGTTATTGTCCTGTCAAATCCTACTCTGAATTTTGGCCCACCCTATACACAGTTGAAATCCAGATTTACACTGTGTCAGTGTATTTATATATATATATATTGAGATTGCAGGGGCATGATCAATACACTGAAACTGTGTATATATATATATATGAAATACAGTGGATAGCTTGGCCCTCTCCCCTTCGGTATACACCATATATCTGCCTAGGTGCAATCCACAATGCATCCAAAATATAGCCAAAAAAGAAATTTCCAGGATGCACTCACAGGCCTTTTCAATCGAAAAAATGTGGTTTTATTAAATCATGTGCAGGTAAACAACCGACGTTTCGACCCCTGCGGGTTTCTTTTTTGGCTATATATATATGTCTCTCTCTCTCTCTCTCTCTCTCTCTATATATATATATATATATGTGTGTGTGTGTGTTAATGTGCATAAATATCTGTGTAAGTATGTATGTATGTATGTATGTATGTGGTAGTGTATGTGCATACATCCAAGCAGTCAAACACAAGCACGACATACAAGCACACTCCTGCAATCTAATAAAATAATACATACAAACACAAGCCTGCATTAAAACAAAAAAATAGAAACACTTCCCTTCATTCAAACACAAATACTTCACACAAATGTACATCCGCATTTGTTTGCGTTCGATTTAGACACAACCCTACAATCAAACGCAAACATTAGATACAAACATACCCTTGTATTAAAATCCTAAAACTATATACAAGCACCCCTTCAAACGCCAACACTGTACATTACATTATAGCGCCAGTAAATGCTGCCGCGCTGTACAGATACGCAACCTAGAAATTTATACTTAGGGTGCCTTGGAAAAATATTGAAATATTAAGAGTGCCTTGAACCTAAAAAGTTTGGGAACCACTAACTTAGAGAATGTTCCAGTTTGGCTATTTTCACCTTAAATGTGAAATTCCTTGAATTCTTGATTAAGTAAATTACTCTGTATGAGATGTAAGATAAGAGAGTGTGACAGTGCATGCAGAGTTCACTTGTTTACCTGACACAGGGAAAGGTTTGACATGGCATATCTTAAAGGGACACTATAGTCACCTAAACAACTTTAGCTTAATGAAGCAGTTTTAGTGTGAATAGAATCTAAATTAAATAGAACTTGCAATAAAGGAAGGATAAACATTAGATGACTCTTTACAGGAAGTGTTTAGGAAGTTTGTGAAGTCACATGCATTGTTCATAGCAGGAAGGTGTGACTAGGGTTCATAAACAAAGTGATTTAACTCCTAAATGTCAGATAATTGAGCATTGAGATTGCAGGGGCATGATCAATACACCAAAACTGTTTGATTAAGCTAAAGTTGTTTTGGTGACTATAGTGTCCCTTTAAGCTAAGGGATTTTAAATTTAAAGAGACCTTAGCGTCATTAACATTTACGAATATCCATTTTTCATTAGCCAGTAAAGGTATCACTTATATAGTTTGTTTGTTAATTTATTCTCATTTATAATATGATTAAATTCCTGACCATCTGTCTTCTATCTCCCTCAAAAAGATAAACATGTTTCTTAAGAATGTTGCTTGAAATAAGAGCTGTACATGTAAAGAAACATGTAAGAAATATGCGTATAAATATGTACATATTTCATTATATATTTAATTGTGCTATTACATTTTAAAGTGGTGCATGAGTCAAATCCATTAGGAGTGCAATTTTTGGCCAATCAGAAGGTGAAAAGAGACTGAAAAGATGATATTTGGTCATTTATCTCACACTCTGCATGAGGACCTACAGAGTCAGATTTTTCCCCATAGGAAAGCATTGAATAATGCTTTCCTATGGAAAAATTCTAAAGCGAGTGCGGCAATTACCATGCATGCGCTTTCAGTCTCCCCCAGTGTCAGGTTTTTCCCCGTAGGAAAGCATTAGATAATGCTTTCCAATGGAGAAATTCTAATGCGAGCGTGGCCATTGCCGCACATACAGATTAGGTTTCTCCCAATGCCTGATGTCGGCGGGGAGGAGCATGGGCGGAGCCTGACCCAGCTCCAGGGACATCGTTTCTGAATTCAGGTAAGTGACTAAAGGGGTTTTAACTCCTTCAGTACTGCGGAAGGAGGGTGAGAGGGAGGGGGCCCCTAGAAAACTATAGTGCCAGGAAAACGAGTTTATTATTATTGTTATTTTGTGATTATTTCTATAGCGCCTACAAATTCCGCAGTGCTTTACAGTAGGTGGAAACAAACATGTAGTTGTAACCAGACAAATTGGACACACAGGAACAGAGGGATTGAGGGTCCTGCTCAATGAGCTTACATGCTAGAGGGAGTGGGGTAAAGTGACACAGTATTAGAATAATGACAGTTGCAAGAGAGGAATCAGTCGGGAGCTATTAACAGTTTAATTGATACGTTTTTATGAAGAAGTGGGTTTTTAATGATTTTTTTGAAGGAGTGGAGACTGGGTGAGCATTTAACTCAGGAGGAGGAAGGTGAGCATCAGAGGTGGGAGTATGGACAGAAGATAAGCATAAGTCTTTAGGAGAGCGTAAGGGCCTAGACAGGACATACTTGTGTATTAGGGAGGATAGATAAGTGGGTGCAGCATTATTTAGAGCTTTGAAAACAAGAACCAGAATCTTAAAGCCCTATATCTTACAGGAAGCCAATGTAGGGACTGACAGAAAGATGAGGTGTGGAGGGGAAGGCGAGCAGGAAGAAGAGCCTCGCCGCTGCATTCATTATGGACTGTAATGGTGCAGGTTGGGAGCACGTAAGACCATTGAGAAGCAGATTACAGTAGTCAAGAACGGACAGTGGAATGGACCAGCACCTTAGTGGCATCTGGCATTAAGTAGGGTCAGATGCACTTAGTGTTTTTAAGATGGAAGTGGCAGGATTTGGTGATAGACAGAACATGAGGTGTGAAGGAGAGGTCGGAGTTAAATAGAACACCTAGGCAGCGAGCCTGTGTGGTGGAGCTGATGGTAGCACCGTTGACTTGGAGGGAGACAGACACAGGAGTAGCAAAACTTAAGGGAGGAAAGACCAGAATTTCAGTTTTGATCAAGTTGAGTTTAACCCCTTAAGTACCAAACTTCTGGAATAAAAGGGAATCATGACATGTCACACATGTCATGTGTCTGCAAGGGGTTAAGGAAGTAGGCAGCCATCCAATTAGAGACACTAGTCAAGAGGGATGAGGTGAGATCAGGAGAGGACTCTATCTTATATTTGCAATGATGTTGGTGAAGACTGAGGTTCCCAGAACTGATCTTAATGGACAATATTAAAATGATTGGTGTGCTGTGACATAATGGTGGGCTTAATACGTTATGACCATATGGTGGAACTGCATCCCCATATTTCTTTGCTAAGATTAGTGATTTTAAATAGCCTTGTAAAATATAAAAGGCTTATTTGTGTGCGCTCTGTTCCTTAATCTGTAACTAATAATACAATGATGAACACACTATGCATGAGACATCATACAGAATGGTTCCACAAAGGGAGATTGTGAAATGCAGATTTTTACTGATATAGGGCAACACATGTGCAGCAACATCAAGGAGCTATGTGATATGGTATAACATTTATATATGGATTTTCATTTTAAATTATTTTTGCTTTAGTTGCATTTTTGATAAATTGTAATATATTTTACTGCTACATATGGTCTGTTTTTCCTTATGCTGGGAATCTCCTAACACATTTCTTCCATAAGCCCTTAAAGGAACACTGTAGTGGAAGGAATACAAACACACACACACACATATCTCACTGATACACATACACTCACTGACAGACAGTCATTGTCTCACACACTGTTTAACCAACACACATGTTCACTGACAGACACACACTGACATGAACATGCTCTCAGATACACATTCACTCACTGACAGACAGTCATTGTCTCACACACTGTTTAACCAACACACATGTTCACTGACAGACACACACTGACATGAACATGCTCTCAGATACACATTCACTCACTGACAGACAGTCATTGTCTCACACACTGTTTAACCAACACACATGTTCACTGACAGACACACACTGACATGAACATGCTCTCAGATACACATTCACTCACTGACAGACAATCATTGTCTCACACACTGTTTAACCAACACACAGGTTCACTGACAGACACACACTGACATGAACATGCTCTCAGATACACATTCACTCACTGACATACACACTCTGATGGATAGACACAGACAGTCACACACACATTCAATGACAAACTCTACACAATAAAACAGAGTTCGAACTCCAAAGGGTGAAATCATTTTCCCCATACACGACTTTCCAAAGATTCTTTATTAATTTCAAAACATTGCCAAATCCTCATTAGCATCTTTTTTTGATTTTACGACTCCATTATTCTTGTACTAAAATATTTTACATTCTGCCTGTATGTCAGTAATTATTCTGTTCACTATTTGTTTGCCAGTGTGACCATGTCAGTCATTATTTTGCAAGTCTTACTCTGTCAGAATGGTTAACAGAAACATACTGACGATCTCTTTGGCTAGCTTTCTGACTATGATTCTTAATTCTCTATGGCCATCCATGTCTATCAGTCTGTCTGCCACAGCATCTGTCTATCAGTCTCTGACAGCAACAGATAGACCAAATTTAAAACAAACATACTGTATTTTTTTGACAAAGTTAAATACAAAATATGTGTGTTTTTATTACAATCTGTTAATGATGTATATGTTGATTGTAACTTTAGCATTTCGTAGAGTAATAAGTGGATATAGCAACTCTCTGGCACCTAGTTTCGCAAATGTAACTTTTTTGTTCTTGTTGATATCTTTCATGGTTCTTAGGAAAGTGTTCAAATTGCGCCAGGGACACAATATTTTTTTTTATGTTAATAGATAGATAGACAGGCAGACACATGTATATATGTTCATATTTATATACTGGCTAGCAGTGGATAAATGTATATATGTTTCATACTTACTTTTTTTCTAAATGTTTTGATACTTTGTGCTTGTGTGTTAGTTTTGTAATCTATTTAACTTGTCCTGTAGAGAGTCTGGAACATGCTATGTTTAGTATGTGTTAAACAGAGTATGTACTCAGTATGAAGATGGCAGTGTAGCACGAACTTTGCAAAGAACTGAGTTTAGCTTTGTAGCAGCTGGTTGTAATGTTACATATCAGTCTTTCATTGGCTAACACAGTCTTTACTTGTCCGTTTTTCTGGCTGTCAAAGTCTGTGTTTGTCAGTTTCCATGGCTGTCAGTCTTTCTAACTGTCACATTCCTTGTATGCAAATTTGCAAAATGTAGTATGTTATGATTAAAAAAGAATAGTTAAACATAATCAGGCACTTAATACATATTAGATATGTGATAGGAATATGCACTGGTGAAAAAAATAATTTTCACATTTCAAATCATCACAAATTCAGAAAATATTAATTCTGAAAAAAACTAATTTTGTCTCAAAGTTTCATTAATCTCTGAAATTTGTAAATGAGACAAGAGTTTTTCTTTATTTTGATTCTTTGCCAATGTGGTATCCTTACATAGAATTGCCATAGTTAAGGGTAATCTATTAAGGACTTATCTACTATCCACTATGGAGCTGAAAGAGAAAACTTTGGAAAATGACTCTTCATTTTGCTCATTCGCTTATTAGTAGATAGAACCATAATTTGGTATCCTTATCATTTATCCAGCCAGGGATATCACATAGAGACTATGGATATAACCTGTGTCTCTAATGCTCAGTCTCTAAAGCATAGTGAATAACAGTGCAAATTAAATACTATCTACATCAGACAAGCATAACATAGAAATAAACTCACCAAGTCCACGATTAATGATCACCAACTAGGCTTCGAGAAATGAAGTCAAAAGAAACAAAAACAAAGCTTTAATAGCAGAGACCTATTTCCTGTTTCAATATTCCGTTTAAATATATGTAAGAGGAATACTTCCTTTCTGTAAATGTGCCAGAAAGAGATAATGAAACCATTTTTGGAGAGGGGGCATTAACCTTAAGTAAAGTCATCTTTTTATTATTATTATTATTATTATTAATATTATACATTATTATAATATTGTACATTGTTGCAAAATTATTTTCATTAATGACTCACTTAATTTAGAGTATAAATTGTAAGACATCAAATGTTGTCAGTTTGCTAATCTCTTCAGTATATTGCATCCATCTCTTGCCTGACCACTGCATAAATGTACCCAAATACGTCAGTAGAGAAGCCCCATACTACCATACCACCTATTTAAAAAAAATAAAATGTAAGAAACCTATTTAAAAAAATGGAAGAGTGAATTAGGTAAGTGGATTAATGCCCACACATCTTTTTTTTTTAAACCCTTGTTTTCAAATTAAATTACTCACGCAAGCAGGGCAAAATCACAATGAAAGGCATTTGAAAAAAGGGGGAGCAGCAGTAATTTATTTGTTATAATTAGTTTTAACATTTGTGGGAAAACAAGGGGATGGACACACGGGAACAGAGGGGTTGAGGGCCATGCTCAATGAGCTTACATGCTAGAGGGAGTGGGGTAAAATGACACAAAAAGGTAAGGATTTCATAACGGAGCACAGCAAATAGTCATAGTTATCTTAAGTCATTCAAGAAAGGCTTCACAGAAGTCCAAAAAAACCATTAAGACTGTAGTTGATATAGTCAGTTCAGTATAAAAATATATGAAGTACCTTTACTCTCTGCTCATAAAAATTTAATGAAAAGGTAAAACAGTGGCCAGGTTTGAGCTCCATCAACCATGCCCCATCCCTCCATGTCATTCAAGTAAAATTGATGTCTGAGCATGGAGTAATCGTGCAGAATACCAGATAGTGAACTGAAACATTTGGAGAATAAGAGCTTTATTATGGGTGTCTAAATATTGGAGAGCAAAAAACAGGGCGCAAGAGAATACTGAGAACAGGCAGCAGCTGAAATAGCCTGCCCTTCGGTGGATCCCCGCTCGGTTCTCAAGCTGGTTTTAGCTCATCTTGTGCCATTACAGAGAGAACATCTCTGAAACATATCAGACTGGTCTAACCCATACGGGCAGTCCAGATCTGAAATGCCAGCAAGTTCCCTCTACACGAGAGACAAAGCAACCCCAAACGATCGTTTCAGCCTTGTTAGGCATCATCAGTGAGACATAGCTGATATCTCTCTAGGGCTCCCAATATGTAAATGATTAAAAGAGTTTGCACTAGTTATGTTAGGAGGCTCCAACCCAGTCCAATGTGGACATACAGGCTAACTTAACTTGGCACAGTACCAGGCTTGGAATGTCAGCCACAATCCAGGTATGGGTAATGATCTTGGTGTAGCCACCAAAACATTCAAATAACCTAGGGCTATTTGAATAAATCCGACGGCTATGTCTGGGAAAATAACAAAGATGAATGGCTCCAGGGACAGTGGCGCCAGGAAGAATTTGGTAGATGTAAGAAGAGTTTTTACCTTTTTATATCAGTTCACTCATCAACTTTATAAATGATTCTAATGGGTGGCTAAAACAGTTTCCCTGTATACTACCTGTCTGTCTGTCTCTGTGTCTGTCTATCAATATTATTTAAGTCTATAATGTATTTACATGAGTTAGTAGCTGATGTTCCATATGTACAAATATTGAGTTTGCGAGTGTGCATGTGCAGCTGGAGATGTACACTAACATATATTATTAGGATAGAGGTAATAATTAGAAGGCTTTGGGTTTTTAAAGTCGCGTTATAGTGTCCTCAAGATAGAAGTTGAGGATAGTAGAGATTATTGATTTAAACTGTTTTCAATTGTACACCAGAGAATGCGTGTAGACTTTTTGAGTCCATTATCTTTGACCCTGTTCAATACAAACAATAACAGATCTTCTTAAATCAATACTAAGAAAAAAAAGACTGTTACAAAACCAAATATTGCTGGGAACGTTTGTGTTAAACATGTAGCAATCTAATTTGAGTTATATGTATTCAAAACAGTAGTTAAAATGGATTTGAAAATTACAATAAACTAAGTTGTAGTGGAGCGCCCAGAAAAAAGGATTAACAGGTCACGTTAAAAGAAAAAAAAGGGAAGAGAGAAAGGGTGAAAAAATAGGAAACCTACTAACCTATTACATTCATTCCATGCAAAGATTAACAATAATAGATTCACCCTATTCTCAATGTTCAACACTTATCCCGTTCTGTTCAAAATCTGTATAACAATTTATGATTTAGTAAATCGGCAAATGCAAAAATCATAAGTTATGTAAGATACAATTAGCATAAAAAAATCATAAAAATAGTAAGTCCTTGTAAAGAATAGGTAAATGTTTTTTTAAAGTTCCTTGGTGTTCAGGTAATCCAAAATTACTGCTTATAACTATTCACAAGACTAAATCTAAAAATATATCTATTTAAAAATATATATATATTTTTAAGATTGTATCTTACAAACCTTCTGATTTTTACATTTGACGATCTACTAAATCATAAATTGTTAAACAGATTCTACACAGACTGGGATTTGAAAATTAGTCAGAAATGCAGCACATTCTAGACACGTTTTGGAGAGCTGTCTGCTTTGATTCAATTTTGTAAAGATTAATCTATTTATCTTTGAATGTATTTCTATGTCCATGGAGTGAGACAAGTTACTTAGTGACTGAAAAGTCTTTATTGGCTTACAATGGCAAAGCAATTTTCATTCAGCAGTCAAGTAGAATTTAAAGATATTTAATGAGCACTAACAAAAAAAAGTGTCAATAGTTAGATATAGAAACCATTGGAACCAAAAGTCAAAACCTCAAGCAGAAGATATTATATTCTATATTCTTCTGACTGTTTAGGAACCTTAACCTTCAGGTATCATACTTCTGGTGGCCCTCCAGCATAATGGCTAGTGGAAGAAATTAATTTCACCTTTTCATTAAATTAGATCAAATTATCAAATTCAAAAAAATTTTTTTTACAGGTGCTGTTATAATCACAAGGACATTATGGGTTCTCTCACATTTGTCATGATTCTAAAGAGAATTTTATAAGTAGAAAGAAAGAATCCATTATGCATTAGCATTAACATTTCACTAACTAATTTGTTTTCCTCTTTTCTTTCAAATCTAATTCAGTAATCATCACACAATCATCCACAGAAGGACATCAGGTGGTATGGATGGACTTGAGATTCTTTGGAAGACAAACGTTCGTTTGGAAGAAATAAATCAGAATCAACTGGTTACCTTGATTTCTCTCATCAGCAGACTAAGCTCCAGCAAACAGATGCATGTTTAAATCAACAAATCTGGTGTTTAGGTTATGGTTTATATACTGAATCAACTAAAGTAGGAAATATATATATATATATATTTATATATTTATTTGTTTGTTTGTTTGTTATGATCTAGATGAGCCCATTAAAAGTATTAGGGATTATCCACCGATCTCTAAACACCAGTGAAATGAAAACCAAAATATCTTATTTGGAAACATATTTTCCATCTCAGCTATAGCCACAACTTGGCAATAATGTGCATTATTTGGCAAAAAAACAAGATCAAAATAATATAATAATTTTGATAAATTCTTACTAGTTTGCACATTTCTCTGATTCATATACATAGAAAGGGTATATTAACTTTTTGTGCTCAGTCATATCTTGGTCAGTATGTTTGACCAACTCAAATACAAATTCTGCCTACATATCCATCATTTTGACATATTATTAATTGAACTTTGAAATGAGCACATGCTGTTGAAAACAGTTGTAATTTAAGTTCCACGAAGGTAAATGTTGAGATTTTTTTTAAAGACATTGGGGAAACTATTGTATCGCCCGGTAACCTTTCTTTGATTTCTAATGGTTATCTCATTGTTCACTTTTAATGCTTTAATTTCATCTAAAGACCATGCTGTATTGTAAAATGTACACAGTAACTAGTAGTTCTAACTATATAATTTGGAACCAGAATCTGTAGTTATTCAGTCTTATATTTTTTGCTCAGATTTGTTGTTTAACGCAAACATTTTTAGGTATAAGAAGCCACTGAACTTGACTTGATTTTTACAATTTACATTGCATTAGATATGAAGATTTAAATGTTACTATGACAATGGATTTAAAGAATCAGACTGTGGTCACTGAATTCTGGTTTGTTGGATTCCAGAATGTTCCTCATCTCAAGATTCCCCTTTTTATTCTCTTCTTGGTGATTTACATTTCCATATTGTCTGGCAATCTGCTTATCATTTTATTAGTATCTGTTGGCCATAATCTCAGTTCTCCCATGTATTACTTTTTGGCTAATTTATCATTGTCTGACATTATTTTCACCACCATGATTATACCTAATATGTTATCCATGCTTCTGAAACAGAGAGGGAGAATAACGTTTACAGGATGTATCACACAACTTTATTTCTTTGGATCCTCTGTTGTATCGCAGAGCTTTATCTTGACCGTGATGTCCTATGACCGCTATTTTACTATTTCTAATCCTTTGCGTTATATCACCATAATGAATGGGAAGCTCTGTCTTCAGTTGGTCACTGGGTCTTGGCTGTTGGCTTGTCTTTTTACCATGAGTATTGCCATTCAGCTTAGCCAGTTGCAATTTTGTGGTCCCAATGTCATTGACCATTTTTTCTGTGACACTGTCCCTCTGACAAAACTGTCATGCTCAGATATATCTTCCATTAAGCTACAAGAACTAATTTTGGGGGGACCTGTGACATTTTTTTCCCATGGTTTTTGTTGTAGGAACATATGTCTGCATCTTCATCACTATTAAGATTTCCATGACCACTGGAAGACAAAAAGCCTTTTTCACCTGCAGCTCTCACCTTACTGTGGTCTTCATATACTATGGGACACATATTGCTCTGTATATGGCACCAGCGAATGATGGCTCAACTAATGTTACCAAAGTTCAAACTCTTCTATATATTAC